ACACATCGTACACAATATTTAACGAGTCCAGTAAATAAGACGCCACTTCAACTTAAGCAGCCAGCATATCGCATAGTACGCTAGCTATGACCCCTGCATGACCAGCCGTGCATCCAATTACGAAACATGAGGGAGCTACTCCCATTATCCATGAACAGAATCGAAGTAAACAGGGAAGTGGCCTCCACTCCTTGGCATTAACGATTTTGCCCACGCTAAACACCATGACACCGGCAAAGAGCGACATGACACCAGCAAAGACCGGTGCGACAGGGACCCACGTTTTTGTGGCGAGCCCTTCAGGCTGCTGTCCTGGTGTGCGTGCGTGCGTGCGTGCGTGCGTGCGTGCGTGCGTGCGTGCGTGCGTGCGTGCGTGCGTGCGTGCGTGCGTGTGTGTGTGTGTGTGTGTGTGTGTGTGTGTGTGTGTGTGTGTGTGTGTGTGCGCCAACATTCTGCAATGATACTTTTCGATTCCATTTGAGCCTGCTTCAGTCTCCACAACCCTTGGGACAGCCCTTCTTTACACGTCCCACCGTTAACTAAGAACTGATACATGCGCGTTGGTTGCAGGTTGGCCTCTCCTAGGACATATATTTAAAGAATTTTGTGCATTAGACGTTGGTTTTTACGGTGAGTACCCCTAGAAGGTGTGATGTTCCCGACATAGCAATCCAATTTCTTTCCCTGAGCCTCCCATACGTCACATTTTTGCTCTACATCCTCTCAAAGCTAACAAATGATACATCATTATTCGAGTGGCCCAGTGAGTTCTAGAAATGGATACGGGACACTCCACCGATGCTCTTTCTCCCCTGATAGTTCATACATGGTTTGCCCCACGGGTGTATAAAGTCCCCCTGTCTACCCGATATAACATACACATCCACACACATCAAAATAAATAACATACATAACGCTGTTTGCCTTAAATCCAACCATTCGATCATACGTACACGATATTTAAGGTCCCTTTACCAAACCATTCCCTGCTAAATCCGCCAACAAATGACTCAGTTTTTCCCGCACTCCTGTCTGCCCCTCGCCTGACCGTTCATTACGCTTTCTGATTATATGTATACGCTGTCAACACCAATAGCATCCGCTTTATTGTCCAACCACAGGACCTGGGCTGAGCGCGGTCGTGCCTTCAGGAGCGGCGCAATAATCGGTCTTCGTTGCCATGACCAGCGGGCCCCTTGTTGGTTCCCAAGAATGGCTCTGGCTGGCTTGTAACAAAAGCCCTTCTGTACTTTCAATAGTACACTGCTGTAAAAAGCCCCTTCTGAACAGCAAGGAGAACCCCACTGAACTGCAAACGGGCCTGTGGTGGCCTTCAAGGGGAATACTGCTGTCCTGCGAGGAGCCTATCTCGGCCTGCGGACCACTATCTCATACCCTTGCTAAGCTCGACTGGTGTGGGCGGCATGCCCCGCTCTGAGAATGTCGAACATCCAGAACTGGTCTCCGTACTTCGACGGCACCTTAGTTCCCGACTTCGAGTCTTAAAGGGAATGTTCCGCATTTGAAAATATGAAGTAAACATCAGACATAATGAGATGCGCTCACTCATAACTGCAGATATTACTATAAGTGGAAAAGACAGCTCTAGACAGCACAATTCATCTATTTAGCAAATATTTTCCTTTACACGCCATTGTTTGATTGCGTAATTGTACCTCGAACATGGATTGACAGCCAGTCCACAGATACCATATCTGGAAATAGCGCTCACAAACGTAACATATGAACGATTCGACAATAATATTTATATTAGCCTTGATCACCACATGGTCAATGACATAGCAGGAATTGAATAACATTATTATGGCGTCATGGATACCTAGGTGACCTTGAAAAAGTCTGCACACGAAGAAGTCTGCAAGTCTTCGCGGGCGTGAAGTTCAGACACTAGATGGACCGGGTCTTAGGAAGGGCAGAGCTGTGGACTGCACCTCATAATCTTTAGGTTTAGGATGGCCACTTCAGCTCAAAATCCCACACAAATGTGGAACAATCCCATTAAGAGATTACTTAAGGGTCGCACGAACACACGCTATTTATGCCGAGTACTAGTATCATGCGCCAGCCAGCATTGTTACTTTTGATGACATACTGCCAGTTATGCCGTTTTATTTTTTATGCCATATAGCGGCACCTGCATGTGGAAATGACAGAAAGCCCTATCATCGCCACTCCTTGCGTCAAATCCAGTTGAGAACGCAAAACTTCGGAGACCTGAAACTCCGGCATGCAGCATCGCAATGTTCAAAAACAGGTATGTGCCATTCATAGCTCGCTGAGAATGCGGGCCCACGCAGCCGGAGAACAATGGCCGGAGGCGAAGCCCGCTCCGTTACACAAACTGATTTCGTCGCTACGTATGCCGGGACAAACGTCGCGCGGTAGCGTGTGCAGCGGCCCTCCCCCGGACCGTTTGAGTCTGATCCACTGACAGCCCCTGGCCCCCACGGCCGGCGCGTCGTCAGCTCCGCACAAACCGATCAAGCCAGTCAACACCCGTGCCCTCCGGACGCCAACACACGCTCGGCGGCCGCCAGCCATCCGGTAAACACAGCCAGGCGGCGGCGCAGGGGTGAGAGGGTGGCGGATCTGCGGAATAAAGGTGGCCTGGTCACCGCAGGTGAGGTGGGACAATGAGCTGGACCCTGCGTGCCGATGGCCGACAGGAGGCCCGGATGTCATGTGCAGCAGGGTCGTCTGACCTCCGGGAGGCGGGGTCAGAGGCGGCGGAAGGTCACCACGGGGTGAACGGCCCCAGGCCACACAGTTCCCAGCCGCAACGGGCGATAAAACGGCTCCGGTCCGGGACACTGATGGTCACGGCTTGGTGGGTAAATGGCTGGAGGCGCGTTAGAGCGATTTACATCGCGGAGAGGTTCAAGACGTGAGTTGATGCTTAGGGATTAGCGCCTAGTCCTAGCTCGGTGGCTTGGGCGTTTTCGTGGCGATGTCGAACAACCACTCTCGTGAAAAACCGCGCAACACCCTGGCAGCATGGGCGCAACCAACACCGACGGTCAGAAGGGTTCGGGTCCCAGCAACGTTTGGGCAAATTAGGCAGATTACTGTTGTGGTTTGGCCGTCTTCAGTGGCATCGAAACAGAAATGGGTCCCAGCAACATTTAGGACGTGGGTACGTCCACGCCTGGCTTTTGTCTTTGCAACACTCACCGATACAATGCTTTCAAACGGATTTTGTGTCATTACTAGCAGTCTCCAGGCCAGCCGCTTGTCTTCCCCGGTCCTACCGTAATACTGGGTACGCCCCTGGGTTTTCTGGCAATAGTACACGCCAGGCCGGCGTCAGGTCAGGCCGAACCGACCAGCACGCCAGGGCAAAGGTCAGCTGACCCGGAGCAGCCAGACTGAAACTCACGTCCCACAACTTAAGGAAGCGTGACATACTCATGTTTGCCTCTTTCATCAAGGATGATTGTTTTGACCTAGTTTCATGCAGGATGAATTAAGAATGTCCGTTTATCTTTTGCAGCTGCACTCCAAACCCTCCGGGACAGAATTTTGACGATCAAAATTTTGAGGCACCAATTTCTCAAAAGGCGTCAAAATTCGGCTTCTCTGCAGAGCTGCAACAAATGTCACAACAAATCGTGACTGTTTTAGAAAAATGCGGCCTACCGTTCTTAGGCTGTCACGGTATGTGTACGACCAAAATGAGTTGTAAAATGCTTTCTGCATCAAGACTGATTGTACTGAGTGTTGTGTAATGCACATGGACTTTCACGGACAGATACAGGAGCAGCACGAAAGGCCTTTGTGCACTCTTGTGCTCAGCCAAATAGTTTGATTTGCGCCGCCATGATGAGCATGCTCGGTATGCTTCCATGACGTGATGGGCGGCAACAGCAGGACATGCGTCATGATCCGTGACGGCATTTGGGGGCTTTGGAGCGCAGACGGATCTGGAGATATTCGCTGGCCCGTTCCATGTGGCGTCATTGCGAAGGTATCCGACAACAACCACTTCAAGTGCACAACTTCACATTTCAGGTTACGGATAAGTTCCTACGGCCACCATAAACCAGAATTGGTAATTGAAAGAGGAGATGTCTGGGTCTGCCGAAAGCTCTTTTTCATAACAAATATAAAACCAGGCCAATACAATCGCCCCGGCCAAAGTCTTCCAGTTCCAGCTGCGAAAGCGGAGATTTCCAACAGAACGCTAAAAACAGAGCCAGGCAGGCGGAAAATCATGCAGACAGGCGGATAGGCGGGCAGGCATGCAGACAGGTGGACAGACAGGCAAGCGGACAGTTGAGCAGGCGGGCGGACGGTTAAGCAGGCGGGCGGGCAGGCAGACAGGCGGACCGACAGGCAAGCGGACAGTTGAGCAGACGGGCGGAACACATAAACAGCCCACAGGTAAACAGCTGAGCAGAGGCCCATTACCTCGACTTCCACCCGCTCCAGAGTGAGTCACTAGAACGGATAAGGGGCCGGTGACGAAACAGCAGCAATGGCATTAACAAATAAGAAGACGGCTTCACAAAAATTGTATTCTCTTGATCTGAAATTAATGTGTTCAGGCCACATGATGACGGTACTACAAGATGCATCCATAGCAGCCATTGATAGCATGCCTAATGACGTACTGGTGTGCGCATGACGGAAAAGTGTACATAGTTCCCAGGTTGTTTACCAATGAATGTTTCAGATATTGCAAAAGTCAATGGATACCCATCACCAAGGGACCCGTCACCAAGCAGAGGCAGCAGGCTGACGTCATAAGAAACTGATGCTCAAGCCACTGGCATCCCTCCAAACGCATGGAATGTGACCAGCGTCAAAGCGGGCAGGCCGCAGCGATAGCGTGTTTCGAACGACAAAAACAAGACGCAAATCATAATCCGGTTTTTGCGCAGCTCCTGAAGTTCTTTACAGGACCGAGGCCGTTGGACAGGGCGGCAGACGTGGGCTGGCGAGAGGCGAGCGTGGTTAACAGCCGGCAGCGCTTAACTCACTTTCTGGAGTTGGTGCAAACGGACCGCCAGTGGTCCTTGTGGAAGACCTGGACCGGCCCTCCCAGGGCGACGGGCCGTCCACTAGCCGCAGCGAGGCGCCGGGCAGTGCGTCCACCTCATCCACCGTGGTCGTCATGACGACCGGTTCTCTGTCCTTGCCCTGCCGGGTCAAACGTATACAGGTCAAGACGAAACAGACATAGCTGGCAAGCAACTGCCATTCATGGCAGCGCCGTAGATATCCCAGGCGGAGATGGCTGGAAACGTTGCATTTCAATCATGGAGGCAAGCCGATAGTGACAATATTCCCGCTCGAAGAACTATACTCCTAGCGCAAGCTGGCGTTGTTAGGTAAACCATATGTTGAGTTTAGCACCTTAACACCGATTCCTTCATCAAATCAGGCCCTGATGGGCCATCTGGCGTCCAAGTCCAAAAACAGGCCACCGACTGGTCACTACCGGCCAACATCTGCGCTCATTGAAGCAACGCCAGCGTTCCGTGAAAACAAGCCGAATTTCACGACAGCCCAGCAACTGACTGTCGGTCTGCCCCCCCCCCCCCCCCCACCGTCCGCCCGACAGCCATGCTGTGCGATACGTCCGTCCAACAGCCGAGCTGTCCAACACATCAGCCAGACAACCGAGTTGTGCGACACATCAGCCAGACAGCCGAGCTGTCCAACACATCAGCCCGACAGCCAAGCTGTGCGATACGTCCTTCCAACAGCCGAGCTGTCCAACACATCAGCCAGACAGCCGAACTGTGCGACACGTCTGCTCGATACCCAGGTTATGCTGCAACTCTACCCGCAAGTCGAATTATACAATGATGCTACCCGGTAGCCAAGTCGCGCAACAAGTCTACCAGCTAGCCAAGTGGTACAAGCCTACCCACCAGTCGATTTACATAAATCTACCCTCCAGCCGATTTACACAAGTTTACCCGCCAGCCAAGTCATATAAGCCTAACTACCAGCCAAGTCACACACATCTACCCGTTAGCCAAGTCGCACAATTCTACCCGTTAATTCTACCCGTTGGTCAAGTCACACAAGTCCACCCGCCAGCAAAGTTACACAAGTCTGCCTGCCAGCCGAGCTGTCAGCTGTAGCACTGCACAGCTGTCGGCGTCACCGGGGGCGGCAGGTGAACGTGCGTCACAAATCCGACGGAAGCAGCGCCGAACGCGTGGAGCACCGTCCCGGCGTTTTACGGCATGGCTGCTGCGCTGTGATCGTATCCGCCCAGCGTGACAGTGCCTTTACAGGAGCGCCCGCACACAGGCTTTTCGGCTGGCTAATGCGGCTACCACAGAGGTCACGTGCACGCAATTTTGGCTAACAGTGTGTGGCACAAGTGTGATTCACCCAGATCACTGAACTAAGGTGACTGGACCGTGCTAAAGGCCTCAGAGCCCCGCAACTTTCCTGACAGTACATTGGTGTCACTTGACGTAAGACTGTCAAATGTGCACGTGATGACCTTTTTGACTAGGCCATGCCGGTCAGACTCACAGGCGGGGAACAGATAGCGGAGGTTTCATGCAGAATCTGCCATACACATTAAAGGGCGCTGTGCCGTTTGTATTTGTCCGTTCTGAACAAATGCTAACAATATGTGGTTCGATTCAATAGACTGCAATTTAGGGATTAGATCATCCAAGGCCAGGCTAGGTCAAAATATATCTATGTTATCCTGTTGCTTGGTTTACTATATATATATATATATATATATATATATATATCATCAGTCTATATATATATATATATATATATATATATATATATATATACATATATATATATATATATATATATATATATATATATATATATGTATATTGCCTAAAACGCCATTTACACTAATGTCAAATGCCAATCTGCGTTATCCTGTTGCCGGCTTTGATTTGCCACATCAAACGTCACTTGCACTCGTGTCAAATGCCATCAGTCTGATGCAGCGTTACGCGGGCTGGCCGATTGCAGTATGACGCGAGCTATCCGATGCAGTGCCACGCGAGCTATCCGATGCCGCTTTTCGCCTGGCTCTGGCTGCTTTTTAAGATATGTGATGGTCTGTGGGGGTACTCGTCATTGGGGAGTGACGAGCAGAATAAGGTCACTCGAATCAAGAGCGGAAGTGCCTGGCGAAGCCAGTATTCAGTCTCCAAGAAACGCAACATCCTAGGCCATCAATATAATAGCAGGCACTTGGTGCTACCCCCAACACTGAGTGGCATGAGCACTTAACGCCGACCACTAACGCAGCACACCGCCACCCAGCCCAGCACTAAGCGGCCGCTCGACGTGGGTGTAATCACAGCCGGCGGCGGCGGCGGCTGCGGGCCGAATGGGCCGCTTCCGCAGCCGCCGGTCATCTGACCGGAAAGGCACGGTCCGATTCAGGTCTGGTGGCGCCGGGTCGCCCGAGCGAACACACACCAGTCACGGTCCGCGCGCAGAGCGATGGTCCGGCCGCTTTTGTGTGCCCTTCCGCGGCATATGGCTGTCATTAGTAAACGGGACAGCGCGAGGCATCAAATTGTCCGGCGATACTTTTGGTGATCACTGCGGAATCTTTGCCTGGCTCCCGTGTGGTTCGTCAAGCCAGCTACTTTTCATCACGCCGCGCGTATCGACAAGCTGGCCAAACGCAAACAACAATGGAAACCAAAGCCCCTTTTGTCTCAACACTGGTGGTTGTCAACACAGATCGTCAAAGTTGTGACTTACTTTGGCCGTTAGGAGCGATGCCACACACCAAGCGAGTGCGCGTGAGTGCGGTGTCACTCGCGCAAGTCTAGCTTCAACAATGATGAGCAATTAAAATTTGCACGAGCCAGGCCAACTCAGCCCGGACGCCACTCCACCTGTACACTGATATCTTCCCAAATATTAACATTAGAGTCGTGCCGTTTGCAGCGTCACGAGGCGCATCGTTGTTAAGTCGTGCTGTCTACATTTGAAGACAGCTGCATGCAATCTACCAGATCAGGAGAGATTTTCCCTCATGCGTTGCCATAGGCCACAAAATACAGCTTTCTCCATTCTACTAACGGTTGAAATCTTATCTAGATTTCGACGAGCTGCAGTGTTGCAGCGACACGAAGCAGCGCTACTTGACGGAGGGGAGACCAATACAATGACGACAAGAGTGCGAATCAACTTGTGCAGTCCACCACGCGCAATCGACTGCTAACCATGGATCCGCTCATCCAGGGGCGTCTCTGATGGCTGGCACCAGCTCTCTACAACCAAAGCAGACAGTAAGATGTAAAACCAAAACGAAGAAACCAAGAAAACAAAAACAAGGTGATGTGATGCGAAACAAGATGTACACTGTATTGGAAAGTGCACCACCTATGAATCACTGCCTGATGTCTACCAGGTTCGGCCCATGGGTTCGCCGACAATCGGCCGGTAAGTGGCCAAAGTCGCACACTGCGAAACCGGTCTAGAACACAATGCGCTGCGACCTCAAATGAGGGAGGTTACTTCAGTTCAGTTCAGTTAAATGAGGGAGGCGTATGGTTCAGTCAACTGTGGCGATTACCCGATAAACACATATTCATCTTTTGTCTTAGTTTGACCACATGACCTAAACCGGTAATCGGTATAAGTTCTTCGATTGCTTTGACGGACATTGCCAAACAGGCAAAACCTTAAGCCATCCAACTTTCAAGAAACGAACCATTGCATTCCAAACTTAAAATTTTCACCCACTGCGTCCGGGAAATATCATCCTACCTACCAAAGACAGCATAACAATCTGAAGTTAATCATTTGAGAGCAATTTTCGAATGAATGGAGCTAGATCACGATGCATTCTGTGTATTAAAGTGGCCAAAATTTGTTCAGTCGCATGTCGGCCATTCTAGTTCTCGCAGAAAGGGGTTTTCATCAAAAGTGTTCAGTATTTTCAATGACCTTGGCCTGAAAGCTCGCATCACTTTCTAACGGACTGTTGCACACTTTTGGACACGCGTCTCCAAATGCGCGCAATGCCACCCAAACAACATCTTTCCAACAGCTAATGACCACAATCACTGCTGCCGCCCGCAGAAGGCAGCCTGGCCTTCGGGAAAGCACTCCTCATTCCACCGCAGACTGACCCTCAGAGGTCTCGGAACAGGCACTTTATCGCCGGTACCAATGGAACTAAAACCTACGAGCGCCACACCGTTGGGCATCCAAGCCCATAACCTCACGAGGGCCACGCCGTCGGGCATCAAAGCCCATAACCTCACGAGGGCCACACAGTTGGGCATCAAAGCCCATAACCTCACGAGGGCCACACCGTCGGGCATCAAAGCCCATCTCCTCACGTCTGGCGAATACCACGTCGTGAGGTAGGGCACACCATCCAAGGTGAGAGCGTCACGATTTGAACTCTGTTTTACTCCGGGAGCCGACCCATTAGCATTCCGACTCCACGCCTGCTGGGCCAGCCACAGCCTGGCCTAGCCTGCGCTGGAGGCTGCTTCCAAGTACAGTCTGTCGGGGTCACGCTAATCTCAGCCATGCACACCTGCGCCTCAGGCAGCGTGTCTCAGTCCCCCCCCCCCCTCACTGTCAGACCCTGAGACCCAGCGTCAGTGTGCGGCTGCTCCCACCACTGTCATGACCGGTGAATGTTGGTGGAGGAGCAGTCGCCATGGTGGTGGTTTGGACTCATTAAACGATACCCGCCCACAGCGCCTCATTCGAAGCATCGCTGCCACCCGAAGACCTGTGCGTATCTAAGTCCTTTCTGTCGAGCCTTACTTGTAAATAGGCTTTGACCCCATCATCAGAAAGAGCAAACTGTCACCGCCCAAAGCGTCCTGCGAATTGCACCAAACTTGAAAAGGACCGCGATCCCGTCCCCAGACGGTCGCTTAGTCACACAGAGCGCGGTTGATCAGCCGACGCGTCACACATCGGTCACACATTTAAGTACGCGCTATTTTCCTTCCTGCCGAGCTGTGAGGAAAGAATAAAGCAGCGCGATCACTCACCAGCTCACGCTCGCGCAGCAATCACTCCATGGTCCCCATCCCCTTCAACGCAGGTGAACGTGAATTTGTCAGGCGTGAGCCATCATCCAATTTTCGCGTCAGACCGCGACAGCGGACATCTGTCGTAGGACGGCCGTCTTTCAGTGGCAGAGCACCGTGCTT